TTGGGATAGGATTTCTAACGAAAAGCACCTGACTAGCATAATGACTTCGTTCCAAAACAAGATTGAGACACGCACAAACGTACATTTAATATTCTAATACTATTTGAAGATAAAAATAAAATGTACTACCAAGTCTAAAATAAATGAAGATGTCACTACTGTTGACTTGAATAAAATCACCCAGTGGATCTCTTTCTCTCTAGTCAGTCTTTTGCCTGTTTTCGGGACAACATTTGTCACTCTGCTTTAATCCCCTTCGGGATTTTTGCCAGTTGCTTAATTGTTGAGAAAGTCAAACGGAAAGTGGACGGGAAGACTAGGAGTTTAAGACTATTACTTATTTTAAACTACAAAACACTTAAAACTACCTTCGCATATATACTTATAGCCTATTTTTTATCCGATACAAATGGATTTGAAGATGTGAATACTAGCAAGTTTCCCTACATTGCTTGTGACAAAAGGTGGAAATATAAAATTAACAACGGCGCCATGATCATAAACATATTATCTGAACTTCTGTCAGGAAGATCAACACAAAGTAATGGTCTACATTTTCATTGTAAACGAAACTCCCATTTTAAATACATCCGTGTTTTCCCGGTTAGCAGCGGGACAACTTGACATGTCTAGATACGTGCCTCTCTGCAACTGATCAAGATCCGAGGTTTTGTAAGATGCTTCATGTCAATAAAAACAACGGGAAACCAGCAGTCGGCAAGACACTGTTTGTTGCAGTCTGTATCAGTGGGCAGGGTTTTCGATCTTAAAGTTTGTTATTTCCACCTTTTTCTTTCCTCTCTATTGGAGGGATAGTATTCGACACTTATAGTTGATGATGGCATCTTTTCGCCGTCGGAGACCACGCACTAAAGGCTGAATGACAAGATTTAAATGTCTCATTGATACCACCTGCCCACTCTGTGAGATACAAATCGTTTTTGTGGTTCAAAACAGCGTCCTTTGTGAGTATTTTCTCGTCAGCAGACTCATGATTCTTGAGTTACCTGAGCCCCTAGTTTTCAGCCTTCATGGAATTAATGATGAATGGCACTGACATACTAGTGTATGAATTAAGGTCCAGGTCACCATGCAATGTCGTTCTGCTGTCCTAGGGATCCAGTTTTAGTTTGACATAGATGACAGTGCCATTTTAGTCATATAAGTTATCAATGTGGTCTCAGTTACGCATTTTGTTGACCCCGCTGCTGCTGCTGCTGCTGCTGCTGCTGCTGTTGCTGCTCAGATTCTTCTGGATTCATTTGCTCTTACCTATAATTTTCCTAAATGAACTCAAGGTGGTGCTTTTAAGGTCAATTTGTGCACAAACGAGTCCCTTTGCTGCCTATCCTTCTGTGAAGCCATTTTTCACTATTTTTGTCTTAAATTGTTGTGCTTTTCTAAATTTGATTTCACATCGTTTAATGTAGTTGGTGAAAGGAAATTTTACTTTCAATTTTACTGTAACTTTTATTTCCCTATCCCATGCTCCACGGTTTTTATATTCGTACTTTGTTTTAGTTTATGTAGCATTTCAAAAATCACAGAAAATTTTAAATAAAACGCAGAAAATTCCAATTTTCCTTCGAAAGCGTCACATTGCTTTTAAACTATAAGAATTTTCTTATTTGAATAAACTCAAATATGATAAATCCATTATTAAACAAAACAACTTCAGTAACTTATCTTATTAATTCAGAAATCAAACACTTAGATTTTTTCAAAATATACTATTAAAGCATGTCAGCGCGTCTTGTTTTCTTTTCCTTCAAAGCAGTGCTCTAATGGCTTAGGTGGTTACTAATTACAAGACTTAAACGGGCTTTATTTCAATAAGAAATTTAAATATCTATTATCAACATAAGTTGGGCAAGCTAATCAAACCGAATTTATTTGATGTTACAATTTTATGTAATATTTGCGCATGCATACATACACGCGCCCAGAAACTAACTTCATATATTTAAATTTCAGAATTTCAAACGGACACACAAAATTAAAGCTTTATATATTATAGGAGATTTATTATATATAAATTAATATGGGATTTTATGGTGGGTGTTAATGGGTTAATTTATTCCTGTTTCTATAAACAGTAAAACCTTCAATATGGATGTTTTGACGTTACCTCCATTTGTAGAATAGTGTTGGCTCACTACTTCGAATTAGACAAGAACATCTTTGAAATAACATAAATATCTTGTTGAAATCCTCTGGTAAAATCAATGACCGTGATACGCACTCATTCAAAATATTTCTCTGTCCATTGGTTTATCAATTATTTCCATGTCAATTTACTGGTTGATCACTTCAATCTTTCCTTTTTCCGTTTGAATTTATATCTTCCTTTGTGAGTTTCATTTCTTAGCCTTTTCTTTTTCTTTTGTCAAAGCTTTCTTTTTCGTTCTTTTTCTTTTACCAAAGCTTTTTTTTTTTCGTTCTTTAACAATGTTTCTCTTTATCTCTTCTTAAATTATCTATTTTCCATTTGTCTTAGCCAGGGTCAAGGTTAAGGCTCTGGTGTGGGTCATCAACTCAAAGGGCCAATACAAGACATCCCAATCACATATATCAAGTCATCCAAGGCCTTAGAAGCTAACCTAGTAACTGTCTCAGATGCTATTCTAACAAATTTAGTGCCAAAATGACGTTATCTCGAGAATGAGTAAATTCGCTAACTGCTCCATACGTTAAATGGTCGCCTTTGTAGAAGTTAATGGAAACTCTAGGTGGACATTGCTTCCCCTACAATAACACATAATAATACCAGTGAACAATTTTACTCTAACATGAATGAGTGGGAGTATAATTTTTACAAGCTGAAATGGTATCGTATTCTTGGCATTCGCTTTATAATATATAATAGAATATAATAAAATAATAGTATAATAAAAAATGATTCGGTATTAGACTTAAATACTGAATAATATGATTGTCTCCTGAAAAAGTTAATATTTAATCTCTCTCTCTTGATATATATATATATATATATATATATATATATATATATATATATTTAAGAAACCAATATTAAGGGTTTTCAAATTTCAAGACGTTTATGTAGTCTAATTACAGATAGCAGACACCAAAAATTACTGAGACTCCCAGACAAGGTAGTAAAGGGAAGCAAAAAGGAGTAACCATCAACTGTAGGACAGAGTATATTGTTATGAACAAGAGGAACAGTCCGACATGCTAGCTCAAGCAAGTAGAGACATTTAAATATCTGGTAAATGTCTAGCGGATAGCGAAAAAGGTGACACCCAAATCCGAGGTGTATTCAAATAGCGAAAGATAACTTCAAAGAGTTAAACAAAGTAATAAGAAACAGTAAAATTTCATTAGAAACAAAGTTCTGAATTGCTGTATAATATCAAATCCACCACTGGAAAAATCGTCATAGATGAAGAGGAGATTTAAGGAAAATGCAAACAAAAGGACACTTGTACTTATAATCAGAAAGACACACATAAAATGCCTGAGATACATAAGGAGGAAAGATAGCTTGAAGAATTTAATACTCAAAATACAAAATGAAGGCAAAGAGCGGCAGAGGAGAAACAGTAAAGTAATCTACCCAGCAAGCTTTTGTAAATAGATGGCAGAACGGAGAGAGGGATAATAAATAAACCTTGCTAAGAGCTACAAATGATAGGAAGATGTTAGCTATGATCTCCCACGTCCTGAGAGGACACGGCAAATGAAAGATTGTTACGAAATATTAAAGAGATATATATTCGTATAATATTTTAATTGTTCAAAAGATCTCATTTGTTTAATCCCCAAACAAAAGTAGGTTGGAGAGCGAATTATCCCACTAAAACTACAAATGTCTACTGGCAGTAGTCTTCAAATGAATTAAAAAGAAATGCAATTGGGATTAGTTCAGTTTCTTGTCATTTCATTTATTCTCTATTCTCGATACGAATTATGTCCTCCTACGCGTAGTCTCTCCTTCATGGGATCTATACTGTAAACAATCTTTCTTTTTTTATTTTTTATACAACCAATATACAAAAGGGACTTGTACTATATGTTAATCCTCTATCAATATGAGTGTAAGAGTGGCATGCTGCTGGCCGCCCTACTACCGCGAATATGAACAAACATCTCATTCTCGCCCGATGCTTAGGAGCTTATTTTCTATCCTCGAATAGACACGACACACTTCAAGTCTTACTCAATTGGGTAACGTTTAACTACTCCTCATCAACACGCGATACATTCTGAACTACTCCCCAACACCGTCTGTCATCTACTGCTTCTCCGCCTTTGTCTACTTCCCTTCAACATAAAACCTTCCCTGGTCAATAATAACACGTGAAATATCTTCTGTTTTCTGTTTCGGCTGTGAATGAAAATATTCAGTTCCATCTCTCACGAGTTGGTTATGGAAATGGTTATTATTTGATATGTTCAAACATCTTCGAGTTCCCATTATTTATAGAACTATAAATTCAATTTTTGTTTTTCATTCTCATAGTTTACTTTAGTTTGGTGCTTATTAACAATGATTAACAAAAATATATTTCGGCATTAATTAAATTTCCTTTATAGGGCTCATATTCATCCTAAATTTCTTGTAAATCTTTTTTTATTTGATCAGCCATTTTTTTTATAGGAAAGTCCATTTCCAATCTGACTTCATTATTAAACTTTATTTACTGAGTGAATTTTCGGGATGAGGACTTATCATTTACATTCGGGTTACTATCTTCGTCTTATCTCAGGGAAATATTTAATTATTTCGAAATAATTTTCTACAGATGTACGGATATTTATAGAAAATTATTGTTTCAATAATTCTATATATCTGAAAATTATTGTTTCTATATATCTGAAAATTATTGTTTCAATAATTCTATATATCTGAAGAAATACTATGTAGAAGAAAGGTTAATCAGTACAGCATTTGCATGAAATACTATATGAATATAAAATATATTTATTGCCGATATTCAAATTATCTAAATTTTAATTTCTGTTCCGCTTTACTTTAGTTTTTCGTGGTGGACGTTCTCTTGAATGCATCGAGATTGACCGATGATGATCTTTACACGCAATTATGGAGAATTGCCAAAGTAGCTGAAGAAGGAGAGAAAACCGCTGAACAAGTAGGAATCCTCACTTCTTGGAAAAGAAACAAATGGGCTGCTACTAGAAACAAGCTTTTAGAAGGTAAGATAATTCAGTACCTATCTACTGTGTGTTTGTGTGATGGAGGCAAGAAAGACACATTTTTATAGAATCACCAATATATATGTATGTGTGTGAGGTGTAAACATACTTTGAGTTAAGCATTTCCCACTTTATCTTAGGGCTACATAGATGATGTTCCAAAGAGCTGCAAAAGCACAAATAGACTTTCACTATTTGAGTCACTTTTGATTATATTTAGTTGTCTGTTTGCAAAAGCTAGCATTCTAATCTTAAGATCAAATTATTTCATTTATACACTGAAAGACAGAAAGAAAAGAAGTTTATTTTGGAGAGTGAGTTTTAAATTTGTTCAGTGTGCATATTATGAACATGACAATATGCCAACCAGAAATGGCCAACTGATTTTCTCACTAGAAGAAATCAGCAGACCACCAATGCCAGACTAGACTTTTCAACTATAATTCTGAGTTAATTTTTAATTTTTAAATCCTATCTAAATTCGTACATGCGCAAATTCATTCTTTATATGAATACTTTTTTTATTAGCGTGTTTCAACATCAACGAACTCCCTGAATATTTACACGAGTTTTAGTTTCAAGAAAACTAAATAAAAAAGAAACTACCATACAGTCATGAATAGAACTTGACACGTAATATATTAGTCAGTTCTTTCATCATATGAAGGTACAAGATTCGATATACAAGAGGTTAGAAACAAGAAATGAAACCTAGATATATCAAATGAAATATCAAAGTGTAATGCATCTTGAACAACTTCAGGTGTCATTCAATTTTTGACACTTATTTTCCTTAATGCAGCTTTCATTTTAGCAACTAGAAAAATAAAAGCTTCATACACATTCTGTAAACACCATTCCAATTTATATATTTATATATATATATATATATATATATATATATATATATATATATCTGTATGTATGTATGTGTGTGTGTAACAGCTGAAATGGAATAGATCCGGATCTTTGTATGTCTCCTGAATGAATGTTTGAGTGAGTGGATGTGAAAAAGACAACAGCTCCATATGTATAAGCTTCTTATAAAAGTTTGATAAAATATACTTCCAGACTGAATTGCAGCATTCAGGTAAGTTCTGATTGACTCATATATACGAAATTATTTTTCTTCCATCAACACACACAAAAAATAATAAGATTTCATTAAACTCGTGTTAAATTTGATTCTTAATTTTAAGTTTTTCTTATTTTTACATCGTTTCTTTTTAAGGACATATTTCCGAATATCCTCCCCCTCTTCGTCCCAGATAACAACAGTCTACACTCGGTATCATTTTTCACCATTTTGTGGTGTCATATGTTTTGTAAATCTGTTTGTCTTTGTTAACATATTTTCTTTTTATGTCATTTGTTTTTTCTGTGTGTGCGTGCGTGCGTGTGTGTGCATGTGTGAACCTTTATAAGGTTGTTCTTCATCTGCCTGTTTCGTATGTCTTTTGGCTACACTGGCTTAAATTTTGTGTATTCAACAGGATGAGTGGTCCTGCTCTTGAGTGTGTCAGAATTTGTCATATTTCTTTCTATATTTTGTATAAAATTTGCAAACATCTAGATGAAAGATGACTATAAATGGAATGAACAAAATGCTTACGGACTTGATTAGTTGCATTTCGTCTCGATGGCATTAGGAAACTCTTCTATTCACTGTGCGCCATTTCGTCACTCGTATTATAAGAGAGATTGATCTACGCACCCACTTATTTATTGAAATAAATACTTATGTAGCAAGCAGGCTTTTATTTTTACTCGTACACTTACTACTTTTTTTTCACTTCTTTATGTGCCTATCGTGATTTGTACGAAATTCTAGGTAAAAACCATGTTACCAATGCATACTGACGGAATACATTCATTCTGTATTCATTTCTCTCTACCGGATCTTGCTGATATCAACAAACTCAGATATATACACATACATACTTTACTTTTATTAAAGCCAATGCTAATGCTACTTCATATTTTATAGAAATAAACCTAGTTTAGCTTTTCTGACCAGCAGGTGCATTTTATTGGTATCTGTCAGCCTTAATTTACTTTAATCTATCACATTGTATTTGCATTTACACATTATACATACTCACAAGCATACACCTGTGTGTGTGTGTGTGTTTCTGTGTACGTACACATATAGGTAGCTACGTTCATCTCTGAAAAGGAAGTTGAACTATTTTCCTTCATCATCTGTCTTTAGTGACATCACTATTCACTGTTTTAAGTTGTTCTTACTCATTTAGTTTAATTCATATTGTTTTCCTTTATTGTCGTTAATAACCCACAGACTAGTCTCTATCCAACTTTCTACGTTGTATGGAATGAGTCTGTTAAGTTACGGTTGGCAGTTAGCGAAAAGCTTATACACTTACTATCAAAGAGAAGGCGGTTTATTAAGATAGTAAAAGGATTCAGATTAAACTAATTTCGAGAGATTAATTTAAATTAAGTGATATGTTGAGATTTCTTTCAGTTTTATGATAAGAGTTTAAATATCAAATTTGGTGGGAGAGATCTAAATCGAGTTATGGTTATGAAAGAGGGAATAATACCATTTATAAAATCGGTCGCGAACGAAAAGGAGAAAATTATGGATGAGGATAATGTATAAGAAAGATTCTTGTTATTTGTCACAAAGAAAATGGTTAATTTTCTATAGAATGATTTAGATTTCAAAAAAGCGCTTAGTTCTCAGTAGTGGGGGAAATTGGATGTCAGTAATGCTATTGGAGGTTAGTTTCTATCAATAGTACATTGGATATGATACCATCTTGTGACATCACCAGATTGGAAATACGCGCGTATGACACATACATAAAAACACACATGCAAATATATATTAAAGACTATTATGGATCTCTGAAGTTTGCCAGTTCACCTATTAAGATACATGAACACTTCATCACACATTCAATTACTTTTTTTCTTTAGAAAGGAATGGAGTAAGATCCTTGATGAGTTTAGGCAAATGGATGGCTGAACAAGTAACATAATTACGAGGCGATGTCAGAAAGGATTTAGTAACGCTGAAAGTAACGAAAAAGTGGACTTATGAACGTCTTGAAGGGTCCGCCCACATTCTTGAAAGACACACACATATTATTACTATTTAAACGTTATATTTTAGTGGATATACGGGTTTTAATGGACGCCTTGTTTTATAAAGTGTTAATTATATCTATCAGCCTGTACGTTCAAGAATCTCTAAAGAAAAAATGTGCTTTCCAACCGGGAATGAAGCTACATTCCCCTTTGTAGTAGGAACTACCGGCTTCTCCGATATGATTTAGACCGCTCGGTCACAAGCTCGAACCCTGTCAGTGGACACATTTTCTTAAGATTCTCGAATGCACAGACCGATATAGATGCAATTCAAACTATTTAAAAAACAGCTTCTATTCAAATACGTGTATACATTAAAACAAGTTTTAATTAATAAAAATAATGTCAAATGAAAATTAAAAATCCATTAATTCCTTACACACACACGTGTGTGTATGTGTGTGTGTATGTGTGTGTGTGTGTATGTTAATATTGAGATCGTAAGTAAAGTGTCGGACAGTCGTTCTCAAAGGTTTCTTTCAGTTTTTATTTCTTCTTAGCTGTTTGCTAATATGAAGAAATAACATTGAAAGAAATCTTTTGAGAATAACAGCCCTAGACTTTACTAAGGAACTCAATATTAACAATAAAATCCCTTTCTTTGAACAAACCAAATTACTGCATTCTAACCTCACTAGATGTTTAAATCCTATATATAGATGTATAGAGAGAGTTTTACAACTCTGTATGTTATGTAATTTATAATTACGTGTAGTGGTTCACATTACACTTACGTGTTTGTATTTATATATGATCTATGTGTTTCATCATTCTATCATACCTCTTTATATTCCTATCATATGTATGTATGTATTTGTTTCCAATACTTGTTTTGTCTTCATTGTTGTATGCATGTGAGACCTGAGTCACTTAGTAGAGACACATCAAAAAGGCTGGTGCGATTTCATCACCAACAGTGTGTCTCCGCTGTATACTCGTGTGTCTGGTGGCAAATATACGTGAGTGACATTGATATCATCGAACGCAGTCAGTCTACCAGAATGGACTCTCTGGTAATTCAGCGCCAGTTACGATGGAGTGATCATGTAGTCAGGATGGAAGATGATAGAATCCCTAAGAATCTTCTGTACGATGAATTGACCGAAGGAAAAAGACCAGCGCGCAAGCCGAAATTGATGCATAAAGATTGCATTACAGAATGGCAACATCATTCAAAATGACTGGCAAAAAAACCCAACTCTAGATCATTCATCCTGGAGGAAAGCCGTGAACAATGGTAAGAATGACTTTGAACAGAATTGTCGAGCATGAAAAAATTCAAAATGGATGTTCGTAGGAATCTTGATATTAATTTCCATTGGCACAGAACTTGATATTACATGTTACGAATGTGGTTGCGTCTAAATATGACAGGCCTAAAAATCATCAAAGACGCCATACATTGAAAGTTGGAAAATATAAATGTAACACCTACTGCAAGAGGCTCCAAACCTTGCCAAATCCGCGCTGCCTAAATTTGGAAAATCGAGCGATGGAATTACTCGAAATCGAGTTACATCCATCATGTATACAAGAGTCTATCAATAAGTCTTTTAGAAACATGACTGTTATTAAACAGAGCTTGTTCTGAAAAATTCAATATGTTTCATTTGTGATTTAATAAAGAAGCGTTAGATTAAGTGTTTACAAGAAAAAGCGATTTGTTGAAAATACATATTTGCGTAAAAATGTTTTTGTCATTAGTCTACGGACTTTTTAACGAATCTATATATGTATATATGTATGTATCATAAATATCAAGGATCTGAAAATGCCACCCTAATCTTCAATAAATCTGTAACTATTTAATTTCAGCCAAATTTATGTTGTCCGTGTTTAACGTTCTTTTTGTGTGTATTTTCTTTATTGTATTTTAAACAGCCTCACTTCTGTCAATTTCTGCTTCCAGCTTTTTATTTATTTATCATCCTAAGTTTATAGTCGTCGGCTTCTATTCATTTAACACCTGGATTCATCCAATGGTACGACTATAAACTGATGATTATAACTATGATAAATAAAAATGGTGGAAATGCAATATTGGCATAAGTGATATTGAAGTAAAGAAAACAATTTTGCTTTTTACCTTTTTTTCGGAATTAATATGGAGAAACAATAGATTTTTTTTCCTTATTTTTATTTTCAAATGTCAAATGTATGAGCTTTATGAATTTGTTACATTAAATTGTTTGCTACAACAAAAATGATTTTTGCTTAATTTGCTTACTAATAATTGCAATGGCAGATGTGTGAACTTCAAATGACTAAACCGCTGTCAAACCATAAAAACCCCTAAAATAATTGGTTGGTTTTTAAATTTATTGTTATGGCGACTTCATCACTATTACATAGCATAGCAAATTATTAAATTTTTATATGAAGATTTCAATGTATATATTATATTATAATATAATATATTAATCAATGTAACTAAATGAAGTGTTGGATTAAATGCATTGAAAAATTATTTTTCTGTGGACGTATTGATGTTCTTGTGTATTCTATACGTAATTGACAAGAGCGAATAATAAATATATATTTATATGGGAATATTATGGTCGTCTTCCTTTAAGAGCGATACAATGAGAATGGAGATGATATTTTGGGGCTGTGAAATTGAAATAAATATGAAGTACCACTTCCATTCTCCAGCTTACAGCTTAAATTATATTCTACTGCAATCAGAAGTGCAGTTTCTAAATAGCCAGTTATGAAACGAAATAAAGTATTCCATTTCTTTTATTCAGAAAGTCTTGTAAAATTCATAGTACGTACTTTTTTTTAATGGAGTTATCAGTTACTCATATGGTCATTGTATTCATATGAAACTATAAGAAGTGTGAGTTTTCTTTATCCAATCGGCCATAAATTTGAAAGAGAATATTAGTCGAGGATTTCAGAGTTTCATGTCACTTCACAAAATTGTAAATTCACTTATTTAAGACAAAATGTTGATAATTTAGTATAAATGTGTTTAATTTAATTGAAATGTTTTATGCAATTCCATTTCGGTTTATTACTGCAGTAATATTGCCTGGAACGAGAGATGCAAAATTATCTAAAAACATTTACAGCATGTTTACTATAACTTAGGCGAACCAAAGAATGATTCTTATTTAATAGAGAATCAGTTATGTGCCATGCGTGATACACGCTTAGGCGATCATGTATCTTTCGATACATGACTGACGAGACAGATTTTCCCGCGGTAGGTTGCCATTTCTTTCTGCGGTAGACCAGTTGCCATCCAAGGCTATAGATCCCAGTCTGTCCTGCTATTTACCCATAAATGAGGGGAAAAGAAAAGGATTCATACCTTTCCCAAGGATATTAGCACGTAAGTGAATGTAATGGATTCAACTGGAATTCGAACTCGGCTCTCCAATTCCTCAATCCGAGCTGCTATCCATTACTCCACGAGTATAGGTTCCCTATAAAATCATTTCATAATTAGTTCCATATTAGTTTCATAATGTTCCCTATTAAAGCTCCATTAAGATATTTTAGATTGTAAATATTAAGAACTAGTATTTACCATTTCTTTTGTTATAAAATACATTTATCGGTCATTTTAAGAATATTTTTCGGATTTTTCCAAAATCAATTATTTAAATTTTCCAAAACTTTCGGAAATTTAGTCAAGAAATATCAAGACGAATATCTTTAAATTGATTAATTTTTTATGAATTTTACTTAAATCAGAATGTTAAATAATATTCAACAAATCAATTCTGTTGCAGGAAGTTAATTTAACAGTGATCCGATTGAGGACTTTTCAATTTTTTTTCCTAAAGATGCCACGAATCGTGAATCACTGGACATGATCGAGGGAAGTATCTTCATCCTTTGCCTGGACAAAAAACCACCAATCACCTTCAACCACCAGAACAGTATTGATGAGACGCGCTCCAATCAAAGAGACGATGTTTCCATGTTACTGCAAATGTTGCATGGCATGGGAAGTGATCTTAACAGTGGCAATCGGTGGTTTGAAAAAACCATGCAAGTAAGTTGAAAGACCTTTCTCATCATTCAATAGTGATAATTTTAATTTTACTCTCTCTCTCTCTCTCTCTCTCTCATGTGCTCTTAGTATCTCTCTCCCTCTCAGGTGCTCTTACACTCTATCTATATGACGATCTTACTGTCTCTCTTACACGAGCTTTGTCACACACACGCGATCTTACTGTCTGTCTGTCTGTCTGTCTGTCTCTCTGTCTCTCAAGAGCTATTATTGTCTTTCCTTCACTCTCTCTCAATCTTTCTCTCTCTCTCTCTCTCTCTCTCTCTCTCTCTCTCACACACGATCTTTTTCTCTCACTCACACACACATGATCTTAGTCTGTCTATCTCGGGCGATCTTACTGTCTCTCTCACTCAGGCGCAGTTACAGTCTTTCTCTCTCTCTCTCTCTCTCTCTCACTCAGGTGCTCTTAGTCTCTCTCTCTTACTCAGGCGCTCAATCTCTCTCTCTCTCTCTCTCTCTCTCTCTCTCTCTCTTTCTTAGGCACTCTTAGTGTGTGTGTGTGTGTGTGTCAGGCGCTCTTAGTGTCTCTCTCAAGCTCTCTCTCTCTCACTCTCTCTCTCTCTCAGGCGCTCTTACTGTCTCTCTCACTCAGGCATTATTACCTGACTCACGCTTTTGGTCTCATTCTCTCTCTCCCTCTGACTTAAGCTCCCTCGGTCTCCGGCCCACGCTATCTCTCTCTAATATACACCTAAATAACCTAAATTCGTTCACTTACTACGTACTGTCTTTACGATGAAGTTTGCTAAACTTGATTATAAATTCTATTTTTATTTTATATTAGAAAACTCAATTGCATAATATTGAGTACTATAATTACAAAGCTGACTTGTTTTGAAATCTTCCTAATTTACCCCGGCCGACCTTTTTGTGCGTGTGTGATAGATGTGAAATACAATCTTCTCTTGTCACTCTGTACCTAAATATGTATGTTTGCGTAGATCTGGTTTGATAAACTTTCTTGTCAATATATATATATATGTGTGTGTGTGTGTGTGTGTGTGTGTGTGTGTTTTCAAACCAAATTATTAGCCGAAAAATCGCCTCATACCAAAATGCACCCTCATTATATAGTAGTTAGAAAAAATTAGAATGTTTTTTTTTTGTGGGGGAGGGGTGTTTTTGTTTGTTTTTTTTTGTTTTTTTGTTTTGTTTTGTTTTTTTTTTTTTTTGCTTTTTTTCACATTTTGTAAAACCCCTTCAATTGCTGACCAACCCAAACTCATTTTTGGCATCTGAGAAAACCAGACTTTGTTTTGTATTCTTTTCCCCTATGTCACAACGGACGAAGTCGCCAGTATTTGATTTTCTGTCAGAAAATGGATGCTTTTTGGGAAGGGGTACACTTTTGGAAATCTTATTTAGACAATATTTGTCCACAATGGTTCCCAATCAATGTTTTGGACCGTTTTAAAGTCTTTGGTTACTTGAATAAGAGTTTATTTCCTGCTGTCTGAAATCTTTCTTCTGATGCATCTGTCAGTTTTTAATGTAATGGGGTTGGGTCTTCCAAAACTTTTTCTTGATTTCCTTTCTTTTAATTCTTCAAAACAAACAGAGGCAAAATGACTTTCATTAGAAATTCTAGGTTTGCAATTTAGCGAAAGCTTGCAATACAAAAGCTTTGTACCCAAAAGGCACCCAAAATATGCTTCAGAAAGTACGAATCAAATAATATCTAAATATGTTTACTTAATTTTTTTTTTAAATATGGGTGTTATATATAACCCAATCCCATCTATGTAACGTTTCCCTTCAGGGCGTGAATTATCATGGTTCTCCTCAAATTCTTCTCCTCCATAGCTGTAAGCAATGTTTGTCCGCATACTATTCAGCACAGTCCCTGTTCTGCCCAGCGTTCATTGCTATAGGGAAGGATTGAATAATGTCATATATTAAAAATATATATTTTTAATACGACTTGGCTCATATGATTTTTTTAAGAGTATGTATATTTCTTAGCATATCTTCAACGTACGTACGTGTGTGTTAAGTGCCTCTGTATATTTCCTTGTACCTGCTTATTTCTCTATTCAGTAATCATTTAATTCTGTCGATATTTCTACATCGCTTTCTATTCCGTATAAGATTAGGATTTAAACTCCAATCCAATCATTTCAACTTATTAAGTCATCGTTTTGATACAAATATCTGAAACCATTTCCAAATCAATAAAGATTAAATGCTTTTCGATTATCTGAATCCGATATCAACCCCAGAAGTTGATAATCAGGCGCAAGTCACTATAATTTCTTAACTGTTGACCCTTAGGCTGACTTTGTCCAGCTACTTGAGTGACAACCTTGCTTTTCTCGACAAAGTAAATCGCTTTTCTATTAAATTCTGCGAGACGCCTCGTGTCGAAACTGTCAAATCTCCTCGCTGCGAGGATTTCGAACAATTTCTCTTGCATCAACAAACGACATTTAACTTTGCGTTGATTTAGTTAAAAGAAAATGAAGTCAATGCCGCTTATTATTTTTCAAACTATGGAAACCAGCTGTTCTGACTGGTCAGATGAAAATATTGCTTCCTTACCTCATCGTATCGCTCATACTAAGTTTAATGTAAACTCAGGAAATGAGCAGGTATATTGCCAATCCTTTTTATGAAAAATAAACAATGCCTTTATTTCTCTTCGCTTGCATTTAGACTATTTTAGCTGAAAAACATTTCCATTGTATTAATATAAAAATGGCCTCTAAAACTAAACTGCTCTCTGCTAATCATGTGAGAGATTCCTTTCTGCCTTCCGTCATTTATGGCTGATGCTAACAGGAGAATGACAGGTCGAAATGTAGAGGAAAGACTACATTTAATCCATCATGTAATTCGCTAAGAAAGTTGGTTCACTGAGTCGTGCTAGACAATTTTTCTCTCCATAATCTCTTACATATCTATATCTACCAACCGAAAGAATCTACAATATTGTTGGTTCTGACCTGGCGTCTCGGCTCCAGTCACTTTCCCACCGCCATAAGGTTACCTCTCTATGTCTTTTCTATAAATACTTTTATGGTAATTGTTCGAATGAGTTCTTCACTATGGTAACTAGAGTTTTTGAATTTAAGCTAGATTTGCAACAAGGCCTCATCAATTTACAGTTGAATTGTTTAGACAAACATTCACACTCTTCGCTTGTGAAGCTATCTTCCTGCTCCATACTTTCCGGCCAACTTTGATCTTCAAAAATGTCAACTGTCTTCATGATTACCCTTTTATTGTTATCACTTCTTCATAATGTTTTCTTTTCTCTAATTCTTTCACACTCAGTAACCCCTTCTATCTAGTGGCTTTATTGCCTTCTATGGGTAAACTTGATTAAAATAAATAACTACTATGTATGTGATATTTATGCAACATTCTATTTTGTTCGATTTAATCGTACACTTGACAAGTACTCGAATGTAGAAAATTTTTAAGTATGAAAAAACTACGATGGTGTTGTGTAAAGATACTGTTTCACCATTTGATAATTGCTTTTCCAGCTCAGGTGGCATATTAAAACTAGACAAATATCGTAAACTGGACTATGCGTCAATTTTTGCTTTCTATTTAAATTCCAATTTTATTTATAAGAAGCAGTGTTGATATCCTTATGACCAAGTAGTGATATTTCGACAATTTTTATGGAAAAATAAGATCGATTTTTTATGCCAATTTGCAAAAAGGCCGGATTTCAGATACTGCACGTTTCTCCACGTCATTCTTTAGAGTTAACTTCCGGTTACAAACGGACAGATGTCAATCTATTCCCATCTGTCAACTGTTTCAACCAATTTCGTGAACTCACTACTGAAACATTTCTATATTCGCATTTGTATATAAAAAAAAAAAAACTCTTCCAACCAGATACACAAATGATTTAAAATATCAGTCTTATCCTAACCAACAGACGTCTTGATCTAATTAATAATCATCTAGCCTTATCAGAACTTTATTTTATTACATTCGTTCTCCAATATCTTTTTCTCATTTCATTTCTCGTCTTCAATATATCACATTTTTGCATCGCCGCCTTCAAGCCTCTACGTCGTACAAATTCTGAACATGAATATTCATGCCAGACCAAAGAATAAAACTCTTCCTTCCACTGATTTAAGTCTTTTTCGTTCTAACACTATTTAGAGTCGGTCTTTCTCCCTCTTTCTAGTTCATTAAGTTTATTTCCTTTCTTCATCAGCGTTCTTTTTATTTTAATTGATTTTATTTTCTCTTCATGTCACATTGTCTTTTTCCTTAATTTTTTTCCAAACGCATTTCTGTTTTCTTGTCTTTCACTTATTTGTTTTCTTATTGTTCATTAATTTCAATCTTTCTATTGTCCTTAACTTTTTCTTTGTTTTTCAAGAATCAAACATTTTCGTTTAATTTTGTTTAATTTCTTTTGATATTTTTTTTTTTTTTTTTTTTTTTCGAACTACTTTTTCTTTTTATTTTTCCTTCTACATTTCTTTCTTTTCTCATTTCCTTATTTTTGCAATTTCCCTTTTTACTTCAGTTCTGTTGAATCGACTCAACTTTTATCAACCAGTCACTTTCTTTTTTCTCTCTTAGTGTGTGTGTGGGGGGTTGTTGTTTTTTTTTTTGTTGTTTTGTTTTTTGTTTTTTCTATTTCTTTCTCTGTTTTCTTCTTGTCGTTTTTGTTCCATCGAGTCCGTGAACCAGAAACATTTTTCAGCTTTACATCAGTACCAACATTTTCTGAATTTACTACAAAGTATATAAACTTATATGCACACACAAACATGCTACTTAAGCATACATTAAAGCAAAATTGTTGTCACTAAATGTTTATATTCATCCATCTAAACCTTAAGAAAGTTTGCGGCCAACCAAAAATACCTCGTTTATTTATCTTTGAAGCCATGAAATTCCGTTGTTGCCCATTTATAAAATGTCCAATTAAACATTCTTCCTTCCCTTCTTTCTTATCTCTATTCAAATTCATTTTCCTTCCTCTTCGTTCTTTTCTTCTTTTTTTCTAGTTAATAAAACTACATTTTCTTTCCTTTTCCATTTTCTAAAACATACTTGTAAAAATAGCTTATAACTGTTCCATTAAAGACTTCGATGCTTATAAAGTGTTCAAACTAATGTGGCTTTACGACAGGTTGCGTTAAGTTTGAAGAATATCTTAAATAGGACAAGTCAAAATGGACGATACGTTGAGAAACCTGAAAAAGCTTTGTAGGAACCCTGACCAAAGGACAGTTTCGTTGCTTGAATTTTTTGACAAGTACATGGAAATTTACGAATAATTCACATAATGCAAATAGGAACATAAATACACACACACATAACCTGCTTTAGTTTCTTTTCTTTTTTCTTGTCTTTCTCTATTTTTTCTGTATCTTTCTTGTGTTTCATATTTTCTTAGTATTTCTCTTCCTCTCGTGTCCTTTCTTTGACTAGCTCTCATGCACTGATAGACAATACTAACAACGAATACAACAATGCCAACAACTCGTTTGTTCTTTGACCTGTATCTTCACCGAACTGCAGTTTATGTGGCCGTGTCTCCGACTGACGGCGAGAAAACGCAAAGGAAAGAGCTAATTGACAACTACTCAGTCACATCCATCTCCCACTTGAAAACCTCGCCCTTAACCCATTTTTCAACCCTCTCCATTCCCGACATAAACAC